TATGCAGAAGGAGAAGCAGGACTTCAACGAGATCTTTGCTCCCACTGCCAAACCCCCAGACCCTCCGTGTCTTGTTGGCAGATGCAGCTGTTAGTGGGAAATTCATCATTCAGATGGATATTTCAACGGCATTCCTGAATGGGATTTTAGAGGAGGATGTGTACATGACGCAGCCGCCTGGGTATGAGGATGGTACGGGCAGGGTGTGCAAGCTCAACAAGTCCATCTACGGCTTGAAGCAGGCGCCACGCTGCTGGTACCAGAAGTTGGCAGCTGTTTTAGAGGAGATAGGGTTCAGGACCAGCAGCTGTGATGAGAGCCTCTTTCTCAAGGGCGAGGGGAAGAAGCTGGTGCTGTTTCTGGTCTATGTGGACGACATTCTTCTCTTCAGCAGCAGCATGAAGGAGATCCAGAAAGTGCAGCAGCAACTGATGGAGAACTTCAAGTGCAAGACCCTTGGGGAGGTAAAGTACTACCTCGGGATGCACGTGGAGAGGGATCCTGATCACAGGTGGTTGAAGCTGCACCAGGAGAAGTTCATCAAGGAGCTGGGGGAGAAGTATAGGATTGAGAATGAGCGCAAGGTTGCAACTCCCCTGCCAGCAGAATTCAAGCTTGTGAAGGCTGCAGAGGATGAAGGGGTTGAAGCCGAGGAGCAGCAGCAATTTCAGTCCTTGGTGGGCAGCCTCTTGTACGCAGCAGTTCACACGAGGCCCGATATCTCTTTCTCGGTTGGGCAGCTGGCTAGGGTGGTGCAGAATCCATCAGAGGAGCAGGTGGATGCAGCTGAGCGTGTGGTGAAGTACCTGAACTCTCACCCAAGCATTGGAGTTCAATACTCCGCATCTGCACAGGTGAAGCAGAAAGGGGTGGAGGTGCTGAAAGAGAAGGGGGAGAGGCTTGGAGAAGGCAAGCTATTTCTCACTTGCTTTACCGATGCTACGTGGGCTTCTGAGAAGGAGGATTCCTCATCTGTGGGAGGATACATCTGCGTAGTTGGGGGAGGACCTGTTAGTTGGAGGTCCAAGAAGCAGACGGAGACGGCACTCTCTTCCGTAGAATCAGAGTACATGGCGATGTTCCATGGGGTGAAGGAGGTGATTTGGCTGAGGAGGCTGTTAGAGGAGATTGGCCAGGAGCAGAAAGTTGCTACGCCGCTGTTTTGTGATAGCAAGGGGGCTCTTGGGATGGCCAGAAACGCTGTGCTTCATGGGCTGAACAAGCACATGCGTATCAAGTGGCACTGGCTGCGTAAGGAGGTGAAGAGGGGGACGGTGAATCCAATCTACATCAAGACTCACCAGCAGCCAGCAGACTTTCTCACCAAGAGGCTTGCGGATGAGCCTCATTGGCGTTGTGTGCGCATGAGTGGAATGAGCATGAACTAGCATGGAATGATGGGGATGCAGCCGGCAGGCTGAGGGGAAGTGTGTTGGGTGCAAATTTACATTGCACGACATCCTGCCGTCTGTTTGTACGAGTATGCGTGTGCGAATGCATTTGGGTGTGAATGGAATGTTCGTGTGTTTGTTTGCTTTCGCAATTTTCGCTTGATGCATTTGCAGGTACTCGCGCAATGTGCGCTTTGGCACAACATTGTACGCGCTATGAACAGTGCAAGCAGAAAGGACGAGCTCGCAAAGGAACCCAAGATGGAAGCTTTGCAGTTCGGTTGAGTTGATTGCGCAGATTCAGTTCTATCCAACTCGAAATTGTACTGTTTTGTTTGGTTAACTATAGTGTAGCAGGGAAGGCACTATAGGGGTACAATTTAGGTGAAGGTTGGATGTTGTTTGTCTGTATCTGCATGCTACAAGGCCAGGGGAAACCAGCGGAACCAGCATTTGGCTGGTTAGGCAAAGACAAAACAGGTTCTGTTTTTAGAACCTGAACCTGGTTGTTGTTTTCCCAGGTTGGAAAAACAGAACCAGAGGTTGTTTACCAACCTACCACCTGCTATTTTGTCCAGCCAGGTTGGTTCTATTGCTTGGAATTATTTGGGATCATCCCTGGTTGTTCCCAGGTTGATTCCCAAGGTCCTTGCTAGCTAGAACTATTTAATCCTTCTCTGTTTGTACCTGAATATAGTCAAATTGATTCATGCGAATTCCTTCCTCGCTGGAATTTCGTTTCTACGCGGTTCGTTGGCGGAATGCTACCCGAGTCAACGCTAGTACGCTAGCACTCTAATGCTAGGCAAACACCGTCTGAGCCATAACTTCGTAATGGCAGAACTTTTCACGAGGCAACTTGGCTCATTTTAAAGCTCTTGGAGCGAGCTTCGATATAGCGAATTCTCAGCTTAATCCGACCGACGGTCTGCACGGCACGCTGCGCGACGTTCAAGGTACTCTTGCTGTTTTGACTAAGTCCTTCTTGATCCCTCTCTCTACAAACTCGGACCCGAGGATAGGGGCTGGTCTTGTACCAGGCACCCAGGGACCCTTGGAGGTGACCCGGAGGAGAGGTTTTAAGTTTGATTAAGTCCTAATAGCTTGAGTTTATTAGGCCCACCAACAAAAGAGTCGTCTCCAGGAGCTGGACGAAGCGCGCTGGTAATGTGATGGGGAGAGGCAGGGAGAACAGTCGAGTCGCTTGGTGGCACAGGCTTTCGCCATGGCGCACTGGGGGGTGATGAACGGACTCACGTAAGATTATGTGAGCTGCATCAAGTGCAGAATTACGCACGGTGTCAGCTGGCATAAGAGAGTGCCAGTCTGACGAGAAAGGAACCATGCAGGCTTAGGAAATCCAAACATTAAGAGGAGTAGAGGAGCTCTCTCTGCCTATGAGGTAGGATTGAGGTGGCTGGCCAGGAGAAAACAGTTGCATGTTTCCAGAAGCCACCACGCGTCGAGCAAAGAGGATCGGTAGGCAGTGGCAGCCCACGTAGAGGAAACACTGAGGTGGCCCTGGGAAGCCAGACAACAAGGAAAATACGTGTCTCGGGCCAGATCAGCGCCGAAGGCCAGAGGGAACGAATGGGAGGGTCCCTGGCTGCCACGTAATTGAGCGAGACAGAGCAGCATACGGATAAGCCTTACCTGATGGGGCGAGCCATTGTTGAGGTGTGACAGGGAAGCAGCGAAAGCCGGGACAGTCATCACGAACCCTTGCAACTTGTGTATGAAGCGGCCACCTGTCGAACTTGCTGAACAACCACGTGTGAGAAATAGAAAAAATCGGGAAATCACCTACCGTCAACCAGCCAAAAAGGAACAGCAAAAGTCCAGGGATACTGGAGGAACGGCATGGAGGTTGAGGCACCAGGTGTCTTGCTACCACAGGTGGGTTGAGCCGGAGATGCGGAGAGCTCGGAGGAAACATTTTTGGCATTCGTTTGCAGCAGACCCATGTTTTAATGAGTCCTGGTGGACGGGCCAGCATACTACATAGGTTGGAGATGGGCAGGAGTAAATTTCTTGGAGGAAGCTGACATGGCAGTTGTTGCTAGCTAGGTTTGCGTAAGGTGCGGAGTGGTGTAGTAACTAGTCAATAATCTGTCACAAAGTTTAGCTGCTCTCACAGCTTGTGAACAAGGTTCGGGCAGCTAAAATAGCAAGGAGGTGTTGGGATTTTTTTTTTTGTAAGCCAATAGGATTTAAGGGTGTTTTTGTCACCGGCTGACAACCACCATGTTGGGTGCAAATGCACATTGCACGACATCCTGCCGTCTGTTTGTACGAGTATGCGTGTGCGAATGCATTTGTGTGTGAATGGTGTGTTCGTGTGTTTGTTTGCTTTCGCATTTTTCGCTTGATGCATTTGCAGGTACTCGCGCAATGTGCGCTTCGGCACAACATTGTATGCGCTATGAACAGTGCAAGCAGAAAGGACGAGCTCGCAAAGGAACCCAAGATGGAAGCTTTGCAGTTCGGTTGAGTTGATTGCGCAGATTCAGTTCTATCCAACTCGGAATTGTACTGTTTTGTTTGGTTAACTATAGTGTAGCAGGGAAGGCACTATAGGGGTACAATTTAGGTGAAGGTTGGATGTTGTTTGTCTGTATCTGCATGCTACAAGGCCAGGGGAAACCAGCGGAACCAGCATTTGGCTGGTTGGGCAAAGACAAAACAGGTTCTGTTTTTAGAACCTGAACCTGGTTGTTGTTTTCCCAGGTTGGAAAAACAGAACCAGAGGTTGTTTACCAACCTACCACCTGCTATTTTGTCCAGCCAGGTTGGTTCTGTTGCTTGGAATTATTTGGGATCATCCCTGGTTGTTCCCAGGTTGATTCCCAAGGTCCTTGCTAGCTAGAACTATTTAATCCTTCTCTGTTTGTACCTGAATATAGTCAAATTGATTCAAGCGAATTCCTTCCTCGCTGGAATTTCGTTTCTGCGCTATTCGACGGCGGAATGCTACCCGAGTCAACGCTAGTATGCTAGCACTCCAACGCTAGGCAAACGCTGTCCGAGCCATAACTTAGTGATGGCAGAACTTTTCGCGAGGCAACTTGGCTCATTTTAAAGCTCTTGGAGCGAGCTTCGATATAGCGAATTCTCAGCTTAATCCGACCGACGGTCTGCACGGCACGCTGCGCGACGTTCAAGATACTCTTGCTGTTTTGACTAAGTCCTTCTTGATCCCTCTCTCTACAAACTCGGACCCGAGGATAGGGGCTGGTCTTGTACCAGGCACCCAGGGACCCTTGGAGGTGACCCCGAGGAGAGGTTTTAAGTTTGATTAAGTCCTAATAGCTTGAGTTTATTAGGCCATTACACCAACAAGCTGGTATCAGAGCTGCGTTATAGTGATCCTCGTTATAGGTAGCTATGGCGGGCAACACCTCGGCGGGAGCTGGTGAATCTTCAGCCCAAGATCGTAGCGGCAGCCAAGATTCTGGTCTTTCAGCGCCAAGGGGAGCGCGAACAAACCAGGGCTCGCTTGTCAAGGAGGTGCTGAAGAATTTCACCGTCGAGAAGTTCAATGGTGAGGGCTATGATGATTGGGCCTGGAAAATGCAATTATATTTCCGTCAGATCGGTTTGCTGAAACTAATGATTGGGGAGGAGCCTAGACCGAGTGACCCCACGCTGCAGGAAGATTGGGACGAGCGCTCCTCGGCTGGCTACTATTTGATGTCGCAGAGTTTGGAGCTGAACCAGCGTCACCACGTCATGCACCTGCTGCCGGAGGTTGAATGCAGTCCGAAGGCGTGGACCGTGTTGAAGGAGCTGCACGCCCCGACCTCCGTTGTCGCAACGTTGATGCTGGAGAGGGAGCTGTCCGCGTTGCGCCTGAGCGAGGGAGAGCCGGTGCAACCAGTCCTGGACAAGATGCGCGACCTCTACGCGAAGTTGGCGACCGCGGGAATCACCTACCCGGAGCAGACCAAGTGCTTGAAGATGCTTTCGCTGCTGCCAGAATCGTGGCTTCAATTTACGAGCGGATTGAGCCTGCCGCAGAACCAGAGCTTGTGGACGCTCGAGTGGGTGCGGACGAAGATTCTGGAGGAGGACTTCCGTCGCCGCCAACTGAGGGGTGGAGACGACGGCAGCAGCGGCTACGGGATGCAAGGGAGCCGACGTGGCAGAGGACGTGGCTTCGGTGGTGCTGGACGCGGTGCAAAGAAAGACGACGACTCCAACGACCAACAAGGAGGTACCGGTTGGGGTCGCGGTGCGAAATCTGGACGTGGGGGCAAGTCGGGTGCTGGTGGCAAAATGAAAGGGAGTTGCTGGTATTGTGAGAAGGAAGGGCACCCCTGGTTTTTGTGCTATAAGAAACCCGATGGATGGACCCCCCAGAATCGTCACCAGGATGGCGGCGCGCGGAGGAACCAGAAAAACGGCGCCAACATGGTCGCTGATTCGTCCGACAACAACCCGAAGGGCAACGGCGGTGCGGAGAAGAAGAAGGAGCGCACCACGGGCCAATTCTTCCATGTGGGAGACAAGGGGGAGCAAGGAGACGCCTCTGCCAAAGTTGGAGCAGAGCTGCACCCCCTAGACTATTGGGTGTTGGACACAGGCGCTGCTTGGACGATGACGCCGCGCAAGGACCTGCTGGACGAAGTACGAGCTGCACCGATCAATGAAGTGTGCTCCGCCTCTGGACACATGTTGAAGGTGGCTGGTGCGGGACGAGCTGCGTTTAAGGGAGCGGATGGCAAGCCGGTGGTGCTGCACGACGTTCTCTTCGTCCCCGACCTGAAGGCCAACCTTATCTCCCTCCGTAAGCTTGGCAAGGCTGGGGTGAACACCAACACGGATGGGGCACGCACTTATAAGGGGAAGCTGGGCAATCGGGTGCTTTGGGATCTGCACGAGAGCAAGGACGTGTACAGATCTATGTGGCAGCTGCCGGCCCTGGCGTGGCATGGTGGGGGGCAGGCTGGAGAGGGGTCTGCATCCCAGGGGGAGTGCAATGCCGTTGGAGGGGTTGGTGTGAAAGTGTCGGCCAGATCTGGGGAGACAGATTGGGCAACGGCACACCGGCGCTTAGGGCATGTGGCAATGCCTTTGCTGAAGCAGCTGGAGAAGGACGGAGCCGTTAAGGGTCTGAAGCTGAACGGACAGCCACCCGATGACAACTGTGAAATCTGTTTGCTTTCAAAGTTCACCCGTTTCCCTTTCCATAGTGTGGCTGGCAGGAGCAAGAAGCCTTTGGAGCTGGTCCACATGGACTTGGTGGGGCCGCTGCCGGTGCAAGGGCACAAGGGGGAGCGGTATTTTCTTACAATTGTGGATGACTGGAGCAGGCTGATGTGGGCGTATCCGCTGAAGCAGAAGGACCACGCCGCCTCCACGATACGGGACGATTGGCTGCCATTCGTGGAGAAGCAGGCGGAGTGTGTAGTGAAGCGGATTAGGACAGACCGGGGTGGTGAGTTCCTTGGAGCTGAAATGACGGCCTGGCTCAAGAAGCAGGGCATCCAGAGAGAGCTGACCACGGCTTATACCCCACAGTCCAATGGTGTAGCAGAACGGGCAAACCGGACCATTCTGGAGACAGCTAGGGCGCTGCTCATAGAATCTGGGCTGAGCAATTCTATGTGGCCTCATGCTGTCCGGCACGCCACTGTCGCTAGGAACAGGGTGCTCACCAAGGTTGGGGATGACTCGTGGGTGCCGTTGGAGAGGTGGCTTGGGAGGAAGCCGCCGGTGGACATGCTGAGGGTGTTCGGTTGCATGGCAGTCGCCCACGTCCCCAAGACCTACCGCAGTAAGTTGGGGGCGAGTGCAATCTGGTGTATGCATTTGGGGCTGGCTGCTGAGAGCAAGGGATGGCTGCTGTGGGAACCATCCAAGGGTGTGTTGTTTGACAGCAGGGATGTGAAATTCATTGAGGGCATGATGTATGGGAGCTGGGAGAAACAGCCGGAGGCAAGGGTGTCCCAGCAGATGGAGCAGATCACCATGCAGCTGGACCTGACTCCTAGTGTGTGGGAGGAGGGAGAGGAGGCAGCTGCTGGAAATGGTGATGGAGAGAAGGTACAGGAGGCATCTGCTGGTGGAGAAAATGGTGTGGAAACTGGCGGCAGCACTAGTGGAGCTGCTGGACCCGAGGGAGGAGAGAAGCAGCAGGGAAAAACTAAGAAGCCGAAGGGTGTCGTTATGAAGGGATGGGAGACACCCGTCTCCAGGCCAGGACGTACCCGTATGGCTACTAAGAAGCTGACTGCAGGAACTGATGCAGCAGAGCAGCAGCTAGGGACCGAAGAGGCATTGCTGATTCTACCTCATGGCTATGACCCGGATGAGGAGGATGAGCCTGCGTACTGTTTTCTTGCCCCTGCACCAGAGGAACCAGCTAGCATGGAGGAGGCATTAGCTGGACCAGATAGGGACAAGTGGCTGGCTTCTAGGGATGCTGAGTACTAGAGTCTGCTGGAGAATAGGACATGGGATCTGGTGGTGCTGCCTGATGGGAAGAAAGCGATACAATGCAAGTGGGTGCTGAGGATCAAGACCGATGACAAGGGGCAGGTCACCATCTACAAGAGTAGGCTGGTGGCGAAGGGGTTTATGCAGAAGGAGAAGCAGGACTTCAACGAGATCTTTGCACCCACTGCCAAACCCCCTACCCTCCGTGTCTTGTTGGCAGATGCAGCTGTTAGTGGGAAATTCATCATTCAGATGGATATTTCAACGGCATTCCTGAATGGGATTTTAGAGGAGGATGTGTACATGACGCAGCCGCCTGGGTATGAGGATGGTACGGGCAGGGTGTGCAAGCTCAACAAGTCCATCTACGGCTTGAAGCAGGCGCCACGCTGCTGGTACCAGAAGTTGGCAGCTGTTTTAGAGGAGATGGGATTCAGGACCAGCAGCTGTGATGAGAGCCTCTTTCTCAAGGGCGAGGGGGAGAAGCTGGTGCTGTTTCTGGTCTATGTGGACGACATTCTTCTCTTCAGCAGCAGCATGAAGGAGATCCAGAAAGTGCAGCAGCAACTGATGGAAAACTTCAAGTGCAAGAACCTTGGGGAGGTAAAGTACTACCTCGGGATGCACGTGGAGAGGGATCCAGATCACAGGTGGTTGAAGCTGCACCAGGAGAAGTTCATCAAGGAGCTGGGGGAGAAGTATGGGATTGAGAATGAGCGCAAGGTTGCAACTCCCCTGCCAGCAGAATTCAAGCTTGTGAAGGCTGCAGAGGATGAAGGGGTTGAAGCTGAAGAGCAGCAGCAATTTCAGTCCTTGGTGGGCAGCCTCTTGTACGCAGCAGTTCACACGAGGCCCGACATCTCTTTCTCGGTTGGGCAGCTGGCTAGGGTGGTGCAGAATCCATCAGAGGAGCAGGTGGATGCAGCTGAGCGTGTGGTGAAGTACCTGAACTCTCACCCAAGCATTGGAGTTCAATACTCCGCATCTGCACAGGTGAAGCAGAAAGGGGTGGAGGTGCTGAAAGAGAAGGGGGAGAGGCTTGGAGAAGGCAAGCTATTTCTCACTTGCTTTACCGATGCTATGTGGGCTTCTGAGAAGGAGGATTCCTCATCTGTGGGAGGATACATCTGCATAGTTGGGGGAGGACCTGTTAGTTGGAGGTCCAAGAAGCAGACGGAGACGGCACTCTCTTCCGTAGAATCAGAGTACATGGCGATGTTCCATGGGGTGAAGGAGGTGATTTGGCTGAGGAGGCTGTTAGAGGAGATTGGCCAGGAGCAGAAAGTTGCTACGCCGCTGTTTTGTGATAGCAAGGGGGCTCTTGGGATGGCCAGAAACGCTGTGCTTCATGGGCTGAACAAGCACATGCGTATCAAGTGGCACTGGCTGCGTAAAGAGGTGAAGAGGGGGACGGTGCATCCGATCTACATCAAGACTCACCAGCAGCCAGCAGACTTTCTCACCAAGAGGCTTGCGGATGAGCCTCATTGGCGTTGTGTGCGCATGAGTGGAATGAGCATGAACTAGCATGGAATGACGGGGATGCAGCCGGCAGGCTGAGGGGGAGTGTGTTGGGTGCAAATGCACATTGCACGACATCCTGCCGTCTGTTTGTACGAGTATGCGTGTGCGAATGCATTTGTGTGTGAATGGTGTGTTCGTGTGTTTGTTTGCTTTCGCATTTTTCGCTTGATGCATTTGCAGGTACTCGCGCAATGTGCGCTTCGGCACAACATTGTATGCGCTATGAACAGTGCAAGCAGAAAGGACGAGCTCGCAAAGGAACCCAAGATGGAAGCTTTGCAGTTCGGTTGAGTTGATTGCGCAGATTCAGTTCTATCCAACTCGGAATTGTACTGTTTTGTTTGGTTAACTATAGTGTAGCAGGGAAGGCACTATAGGGGTACAATTTAGGTGAAGGTTGGATGTTGTTTGTCTGTATCTGCATGCTACAAGGCCAGGGGAAACCAGCGGAACCAGCATTTGGCTGGTTGGGCAAAGACAAAACAGGTTCTGTTTTTAGAACCTGAACCTGGTTGTTGTTTTCCCAGGTTGGAAAAACAGAACCAGAGGTTGTTTACCAACCTACCACCTGCTATTTTATCCAGCCAGGTTGGTTCTGTTGCTTGGAATTATTTGGGATCATCCCTGGTTGTTCCTAGGTTGATTCCCAAGGTCCTTGCTAGCTAGAACTATTTAATCCTTCTCTGTTTGTACCTGAATATAGTCAAATTGATTCAAGCGAATTCCTTCCTCGCTGGAATTTCGTTTCTGCGCTATTCGACGGCGGAATGCTACCCGAGTCAACGCTAGTATGCTAGCACTCCAACGCTAGGCAAACGCTGTCCGAGCCATAACTTAGTGATGGCAGAACTTTTCGCGAGGCAACTTGGCTCATTTTAAAGCTCTTGGAGCGAGCTTCGATATAGCGAATTCTCAGCTTAATCCGACCGACGGTCTGCACGGCACGCTGCGCGACGTTCAAGATACTCTTGCTGTTTTGACTAAGTCCTTCTTGATCCCTCTCTCTACAAACTCGGACCCGAGGATAGGGGCTGGTCTTGTACCAGGCACCCAGGGACCCTTGGAGGTGACCCCGAGGAGAGGTTTTAAGTTTGATTAAGTCCTAATAGCTTGAGTTTATTAGGCCATTACACCAACACACCATTCAATACAACCAATTCACATCGTTCAATACTACCTTCTCGCTCAATCCTGTCTAGGGTACTCCAATCGGTGCTCAGGCGCTGTGCTCGGTAAGGAGTGGGATGACCACCATTCAATGTCAACCAATGCACATTCTTTCCGGATGGCGCCTAGTGAAGGCTGCTGCCACTAGACGCGAACTTCTACGGCAGCAGCCTTCACTAGCAGCCAGTCGGAAGGGAGTGGGACGAGCACCTGCTGGAGAAATCTGAGAACGGGCCAATGGCTTGGAGGGTGCTAAATAAGCTGCACGCGCCAACCTCGGTGGCTGCAACGCTCATGCTAGAGCGTGATTTGGCGTCGTTGCATTTGAGTGAAGGAGAACCGATACAACCAATTTTTGACAAGATGAAGGTTTAGTACGCGAAGCTTATGGCCGCGGGCGTTACGTACCCGGAGCAGACGTAGTGACTTTGTATGTTGTCACTACTGCCCAAATCTTGGCTACAGTTCATGACTGGCTTGAGTCTTCCCAACAACCAGTGATCGTGACACTTGAAAGGGTAAGGACCAAAATCCTTGAAGAAGAATTTAGGATTAGTAGCTGAGGATCAACTATGAAGGAGATAACGGCTACGCAACTGGCATAAGGGCAAAGGGCATGGTCAAGCTAAACATGTTCGCTACGTAAGCGGTCGAGATGATAAGAAGCGGTGGAGTTCGGGTGTTTATTGAGATGATGCTGAACGAGATGAGCATGATGACTCCCCGAGATTCAAGGGTACCTGCTGGTATGGTGAGAAGCCGAATCACACTCGGGCACGGTGCTGGAAGCGACCTGAGTGGTGGACGTCCAGGAACAAGAATGGTGAAAGGAGAAGGATCAACCGAATGGAGCTGGGTACATATCAGAACCTATAGGAGGAAAGGGGGATGGTCGAGAGCGTGCCGCAGGAGATTTGTTTCATATGCAAGTGAACGACGGAGTTGGGAAAGCAGCTGCCAAGGAAGGAGCAGAGTCTGATCATCCCAACACTAGGATATTAGATTCTGGAGAATCATGTCATATGACCTCGAGGGGGAATCTGCTAAATAAGGTTGATAAGACCACCATCATTATGAGAGTTATGGGAGTCAGCAATGCAGCCATCACGGGAGCTGATGAGAAGCCGTTGATTCTTGAAGATGTGCTCTTAGTTTCGGAGCTGAAAGCAAATCGAGTTCCCTTTAGGAAAATGGGGATTGCTGGCGTGAGCACAGCAAGCAATAGAGCGGAGTCGTTTAAAGGGCAGCTAGGAGATCATGTAATTTGGAATCTAGCATGAGAACAAAGATTTGTTTCATGGACCTGCTGCCTCGGAATGAGGTGGTACACGAGAAGCAGAACGAGATATGCAACTGCAAAGGGAGGTGTGCTGTTGAAGCTGTGAAGGAGCTGAATGCCGTGGTTGGGATGATGGTGCAACAGTTGCAGAATGTAACTTCTCGGCTTGAGGCAGCTGAACAGAGAAACACTAAAGCTGTTGGTGAGGAGAGGAGTGCCGAATCCAGGGGGAGAAAATTTGTGATTGCTGTCGACAAGGTAATTGGAGTGTACAAGGGTGGCATCAGAAAAAGCACAAATGCAAAGATATGGAGCAACTGAAGGAATACAGCCGACAAGGAAAAGCCATCAAGAATAAACCCTAAACTTACTGGGTGTTGAGAAAACCTCGGTTCGAGAAGGAAGTTGAAGAAGATAAGTAGCTATCAAGGCCTGTAGGTGATAGATCCAAGGTTATAGAAGTACCAATGGTGAAGGCGGGCTTGAAGGAAGCTGAAACTATTATAGATGGGATTAATCAGGTTCCAGTAAAGCTGTAGAGGATTACGGAAAATGTCATGGAAGATGAGGTTATGGGGGAGTGCAAGAGTGTCTTCCCTCAAGTTGGAGGCAATGTTTATAATCTGATGGAGTGGATAGCTAGGGATAATCATGAGATATACAATGTGGGGAAGCAGATGGGAAAGGATGCAAATATTCATGTGCCTATGATGGAAGCAACCAAAGGAGATGTTGGGCCATGAGTGGCGGATGTGGATGCGCATAATCGGCAGGTTTAAGGGGAGTGTGTAGGTGTAAATTTCTATTTGCATGTCAACCTACCAGCTATTTGAAGAAAGGTCAAGTTTTTTCTTGAAGGTATTTCGAAGTTTGTGAGATGAGCATTTTAGCACTTTACGTGTGAGCATTCACGGTTTGTGAATCGCCTCGACGGTTCACGAGCTATGAGCAGTTTTGTGAAGGGTTGCATTTGCGAGTGTCCATGCGTTTCGTAAGTAAAGGCGATCGTTCGTGTTATTTTGCGTGTTTCAAGATTTCGTGTGTGTGCATGTGATTTCATGAGTTCAGTGTGTCATGAATGTTCTGTTGGTGTAAGGGCCTAATAAACTCAAGCTATTAGGACTTAATCAAACTTAAAACCTCTCCTCGGGGTCACCTCCAAGGGTCCCTGGGTGCCTGGTACAAGACCAGCCCCTATCCTCGGGTCCGAGTTTGTAGAGAGAGGGATCAAGAAGGACTTAGTCAAAACAGCAAGAGTACCTTGAACGTCGCGCAGCGTGCCGTGCAGACCGTCGGTCGGATTAAGCTGAGAATTCGCTATATCGAAGCTCGCTCCAAGAGCTTTAAAATGAGCCAAGTTGCCTCGCGAAAAGTTCTGCCATTACTAAGTTATGGCTCGGACAGCGTTTGCCTAGCGTTGGAGTGCTAGCATACTAGCGTTGACTCGGGTAGCATTCCGCCGTCGAATAGCGCAGAAACGAAATTCCAGCGAGGAAGGAATTCGCTTGAATCAATTTGACTATATTCAGGTACAAACAGAGAAGGATTAAATAGTTCTAGCTAGCAAGGACCTTGGGAATCAACCTGGGAACAACCAGGGATGATCCCAAATAATTCCAAGCAACAGAACCAACCTGGCTGGACAAAATAGCAGGTGGTAGGTTGGTAAACAACCTCTGGTTCTGTTTTTCCAACCTGGGAAAACAACAACCAGGTTCAGGTTCTAAAAACAGAACCTGTTTTGTCTTTGCCCAACCAGCCAAATGCTGGTTCCGCTGGTTTCCCCTGGCCTTGTAGCATGCAGATACAGACAAACAACATCCAACCTTCACCTAAATTGTACCCCTATAGTGCCTTCCCTGCTACACTATAGTTAACCAAACAAAACAGTACAATTTCGAGTTGGATAGAACTGAATCTGCGCAATCAACTCAACCGAACTGCAAAGCTTCCATCTTGGGTTCCTTTGCGAGCTCGTCCTTCCTGCTTGCACTGTTCATAGCGCATACAATGTTGTGCCGAAGCGCACATTGCGCGAGTACCTGCAAATGCATCAAGCGAAAAATGCGAAAGCAAACAAACACACGAACACACCATTCACACGCAAATGCATTCGCACACGCATACTCGTACAAACAGACGGCAGGATGTCATGCAATGTGCATTTGCACCCAACACACTCCCCCTCAGCCTGCCGGCTGCATCCCCGTCATTCCATGCTAGTTCATGCTCATTCCACTCATGCGCACACAACGCCAATGAGGCTCATCCGCAAGCCTCTTGGTGAGAAAGTCTGCTGGCTGCTGGTGAGTCTTGATGTAGATCGGATGCACCGTCCCCCTCTTCACCTCCTTACGCAGCCAGTGCCACTTGATACGCATGTGCTTGTTCAGCCCATGAAGCACAGCGTTTCTGGCCATCCCAAGAGCCCCCTTGCTATCACAAAACAGCGGCGTAGCAACTTTCTGCTCCTGGCCAATCTCCTCTAACAGCCTCCTCAGCCAAATCACCTCCTTCACCCCATGGAACATCGCCATGTACTCTGATTCTACGGAAG